GAGTTGAAGAAGTTGGTGAGTTAGAGGCCACAATTATCCTAGGAATTTGAAACTAGAAAATAGGGAAGTGATTGTGTGATCGCTGATGTAACGTTGGAGGGAAAATGTCATGATTACAATGACGTCACTTCACATTAAGAGAAAAGGATTAAAATGTCCATTTCTATTCTTTCAGTCGAAAAGGACATTTTGGGGGGCAATTTGTTGGCTAGTATTTTCACAAAGGGTTAAAATCCAACCAAAAGCAAAAAAGTTTCTTTGAAGACTTTGAATTATAGGAAATCAACCATAGAAGCAGTCGAATGGAAGAGGTTTTATAAAAGGCCAATTGGGCTTGTGAACACAGTCGACCAGAAAAGAGGCGTCATGAGGAATGGATTGGGCCCATGAGTGTTAAAAAGCCCAGAATATGGAATAACTAGAAAAGCAAAGTGTTATGAATGGAGAACGTGGGTTTGATAACAGGAATGGAGAACGTGGGTTCGATAGCAAGGATGGAGAACGTGGATTCATGGAGGGAAGTTACAAGAGACACATGGCTCATAAAGAAGCGAAACCCGCTGAAAAGTAGTTATTTTCATGTATTATAAATAAATCAGTTAGTGCATAGTGTAAGGGGTTCAAACTTTCATATTTCTACACGCTAGTCACTCAGAATATCCAAGCGAACGAGCGAAATGAGTCATGTAAGGACGATGTATGTTGGAATCAAACCATTTTCAACTATTTTGATGTTATGTCATCTATTTTTATAGTTTAAAACGTCTTTGTTTTATTTTACAATTACTACTTTATTGCTTTTAAATTCGTTTCGCCTTAGTCGAACGAACCCTTTTAAAAATACTTTGTGAAAACACTCAAAAACTGAAACAATGTACTGAGATTCCCTGGTTGATCTCGCCATTAAACTTTATGTTAAGAAACCAACTTTGTTTACCAAAACCAGAGATAAACAACAGTTCATTAAAGATGAAGTATAATCATGTTCATTACGAAACAATAATTATTTGTGCAGACTTGGAAGGAGCACATCGATGCCATAAAGCTTTGCAAAGAAACATATATGCAACTTTCATCCGAGAAAGAAATAAGGTAAAAAAGATCACTTCTTATAGATAACACCCTCTAGACATCATCATCCTCGACTTCGACTCACATAGAAAAAGCCATGTCTGAGAATGAACATAATAGGTTGTAATCAAAAGGGGTGTGTTGTGTAACGAGTTATCATGAACAACTCTTTTGTAAAATAGTTGTAAAATAGTTCATGGAACCTGAACCCGGGTGTTCTTAAGATGTTTCATTGGACTGAAAACTTTGTTTCCTCTACAATCATCCCAAGAATACTAGAAACCTAAAATATTCTTTGCGATTTATAGTAGTGTAAGTACCTCTATATGCATTGATTCAACCTCTAATGTGTCATCTTTTGATAGAGATTTTTGTAATTTTTAGAGTCCTTGTTGATTTGGATCTCTCAAAGGATTTGAGTTATAAAATCTTGGTAGAAATGGTAGAGTTTTCCTTTTTGTAGAGATTGAATATCAAAAGCTTCCATCTTTCTGTAGCTTCTATAATTGTATTGGTCATACCTTAGACAGTTGCAAAAGAAAAACAATCCCTAATGAAAATCATGATAGACAAAAGACCTATAAGGGAGATTCAGGTAAACGACATATATAATACAAAGACAAATATAAACCTAATCAGGTTGAACTTATGGAGCCTACAAACCAAAATAATACTAACCTTGTAGTGGTAGATATAAACCAAAATAACAAAAATGCAGTTGGACAAAGTAGTGGAACTAATCCAAAACCTATTCACCTCAATGAGGATTCTCCGATAAACATGAATTCTGAGCAAAACCTGGATAAATAGATTGATGGCATAACTCATAGAGAGGATAACAACCCCTAATACTAGCAAGGAACACTCTAGCTCTGAGGAGCCATAGTTTGTTGATGCCACCCAAGCCACTGAGCTAGAAGGTAATAGTCAAGAGAAAGCAAATGAAAAGTCCTAAAAAAATCATGGGCCAACGTGTCAGATGGTAGGGATATAGTTTAATTCTCAGGCAATGAAGATGAATAATTTGATCTTGAGCTTCTAAGATTCCAATTATCCATTTCAAAATCACAAAGAAAAAAACTTATGCAAAAAGCTAAAACTAGAACCAACTACATAACCAGATCTCAGTCTGGTAACTCCAAACACACCTCATTAATTACATTTATTGGAACGCACGAGGTATGGCCAATGTCCCCACAAAATTGGCCTCTCAAGAATCTCCTTAAAATCCAAAATCCTGACTTTTGCTTTATGTCATACCCTGGATGGATTTGCAATTGTTTCCTCCAAAATTTCTTCAATCCCTAAACCTCAAAGTGATTTCCATTAACTCTAGGCTCAAAAATCTTCCTAATATTTGGTGAATTTTCTCCAAAGACCTGTACCTTTAATTTATTTTCACCATAGAGAAATTTGTTGCTTCCACTATTCAAATGGACAATGTCAAAGTATGCATTGATGTCATACATGCCTCTACATGTTACTACATTAGAAGAATCATGTGGAATTCCCTAACTACTCTCCAATATAATCACACTTTACCTTAGTGCTTCCTTGGAGACTTTAATGCGATTTTGGGGCTCATGAGCATAAAGATAGAAACTCCTCATCCAAGACCTCCATCTTGGATTTCTAGGAGTGGACTGATCAAAAGTCTCTTGTGGACGTGCCTGCTTAAGGCTCTTTTTTCACCTGTTCAAATGGTAGATCGGGAATAGTTCATGTTGAAAGGAGATTAGATAAAGTTTTCTACTATCAAAGTTGGATAACTTCGTCCAAAATGTATAATATTACCATTATCCCAAAGCATAGATCAACTTATTACCCTTTGCTTGTGGAAGCCAGTTATACCTACGTCAAGCACAAATCCAATTTCAGATTTCTGAGCATGTGGACTTTTTACGACCAATTTAAACCTTTAGTTTCTAACATTTGGTCTCAACCTAAAGTGGGATGCCCAACGTACATTCTTACAAAGAAGCTTCAAGCCCTTAAGACTCATCTCATAATTTGGAACAAGGAGGTGTTTGTAGACATCCATCATTTAGTTCTAACCTCCACCTTTAACCTAACCAACGTTCAAGATCAAATTCAACAATGTGGCATGATTGATAATTTGAAGGAGTAAGAGATTAAGCCTCAATTTGAAATGAACAATCTTTGGCCAAAAAGGAGTTGTTTCAGTTGGAGAAAGCTAAAACTAGATGACATAAATTTGAGGACAGAAACATCTTTTATTACATAAAACGACTAAGATTGGAGGTTCTAGAAACATTATCACAAACTTGAGGCATGGTGACAATTTGATCTCTGGCCCTAATGAGATGGATGCTTATGCAGTTAATTTTTTCACTCATTTTAAGTTTTGCGGATGACATTCATGTTTCTGATCTAATTGGTATAATCCCCTCATTGGTTACTGACTCCATGAACAAGATCCTCACTAATATCCCTTTCTTTGAGGAAATCACTACTTCAGTCTTTGGTCTCAAGAAGGGTAATGCTCCTGGGTCTGATGGCTTTGGAGGTTCCTTTTTACAAACTTATTGGAGCATCATTCAATATGGCGTGTGCAAAGAAATTTGGCAATTATTCAAGATAAGATGGATGTTTCCTAATTTCAATTCCAACATTATTTTTCTTATTCCCAAGACAACTTATGTTGACTCTATGGATAATTTTAGGCTTTGTGCTTGAAGAACGGTCAGATATGAGCCCCCTTTCGCGGATATGTTACCCAGACCCTTAGTATCTCTGTCCATAATGTACGATCGTGTGAAAAACGAGAATTAGGTCAACAAATGATACAAGGAAGTGAGATTCAATTACACTTTTTAGATTTCAGGGAACCAACCAGTTATTCTTTGAGTGGATGCTACATCCTAATTTAAGGCCCATGGAACTATAAATACATCACAACTGTGATACAGAAAGACCAACTACAACATACATAAAATACAAACATACAACAACTTCTCATTTGATGTGAGTGAGCTCTCAATGCCACGACAACTTTAAAAGCCTCGGACAACCCTTGTCTACTAGGGATTATTATGCATTTGTACTTTTAGCGAGTACAATACAGTGTTTATCATCATCACCATTATCACTCGAATTTGTCGATCTATCTAAATCAATTAATATTCCTAAAAAGTGTAAAATAATTTTATTTTATTGTTTATATATGACTTCGAAGCAAGTTGTATCAAATTTTCTAACTACTTTAATTAGTTAACCTTGTTAGTTATGAAGTAAGTATTTTGGCATGATCATGAATCAAATTTTGTACACTTGAATTTACAACATTCACATTATAAAACAATTTCAGAGTGACATCTAATGACATCACCGTTATTTTACCATCTCACACTAAATAATTTCAAAATAATCATTCAAAAGTATAGTATAACTTTCTAAAAAAATGGAGTTTTTAATGAAAGGAATACTAGAATAAAGTAAGGAAGTGTGGAATGGGTGAGCAGGCAAATGTGGTATGGGAATGAGAGCTGAATGCCGCACCACAGCGCACCTGCATATTGTAAAGGTGACTGACTGATGAGTTGCACGCCACGAAGTGTAGAGACTAACTAAGGGTGAAGCTTAGGTCAGAGCAGCTCCAACTAACGTTTTGGTCTGCCAGATACCCCACATTCACCTCGATAACCCCCCTTCTTCATATGCACGCCTTCCCTTTCATTTTATTCACCATTTATACTAATGGGTCATGTGAAAAGGATCCTTAGTCGTTTGTAGAAGCCTTTAAATAGCACTGTCATTCATTCCCATGACAGCAACATAACCTTAAACAGAAGAAAAAGAAGCAAATTAACCTTGTGTCAGTTTGAGTTATAGTAACTGTCTATACACTTCAAATATCACATACTTTGATTTGATATCCTTATTTAGCCAAAACGGGTCTCCCACTTTGGATGCTTGGTTTCGGTGCCGACCTTTTGTGGGCCGACATGAATCGTCTTCTTGCCTTTCTCTTCCATCAGGGAGTTTTGGATGAGCAGTTCTTGCAACTTCAACAGCTTCAAGATCACACTTCTCCTAACTTCGTCTCTGAAGTCGTCAACATTTACTTCCACGAGTCCGAAAAGCTACTCACCAATCTCAGATCATTGCTGTAATAATTACTCTTTTAATTCGTCCGTCTCATGATAAGTGTGACATTTATATTTTTTTTCTGTCTTAAAATAATTGTCGTCGATGCCGTCTCATGATAAGTGTGACATTTATATTTTTTTTCTGTCTTAAAATAATTGTCGTCGATGCAGAATGGAGAGGGAGTTTTCGGATTACAAGAAAATGGAAATACATTTGAATCAATTCATTGGTAGCAGCTCAAGCATTGGTGCTAAGAGAGTTACAAGCATTTGCATTGCCTTTCGTGCCGCTTCCGAGCAAGACAATCGTACTGGGTATGTTCATTTTTTCATACACTCTATTATCTATATTTTTATTAATTTATAGACTAAACACATTTTATAATAACAACAATAATAATATTGCAGATGTTTGCGAGCGTTGGAGATGCTCGAGCATGAATATTGTTATCTTAAGAACAAATTGCATGAACTTTTCCAAGTAAAGTTAACATTTCATCTAATTTACGATATCTATTTTTTAGCATGCATTATAATAAATATAATATAAAGTACTAATATATCATAAATTATGTGCTTATGTTCAGATAGAGCAGCAACGTGCTTTGGCAGCAGGAGTGAGATACCCAGTTTAGCATCAATAAAATGGTGGAATAACTATCTCCAAGATTTTGTTTTGTTTTTCTTCTTTGTAGCTTTGTTAGGGTAATGTCATGACTTTCTAGTTTTAGACACAAACCAAGTTCATTTTTGGTTGTTTAGGGTGATTAAAACCTCTCTTATTTTGAATTTCTTATGTATATAGTAGCAATATTGTGCTCTTCTTGCATTTGTGCTTTGCTGCAAGTTATTTGGTTTTGAATGAAAATTGATTAATTAGTAGAAGCTATTTGGTAGTTTTGTGTTACTTGATCATATATGTTTTTATTTGAATTTGAAAGGGGAATGAGAAAGTGAAGCGGATAATAACTTTTGGAATTTAGTCAAGGGAATGAAATTGTAAGAAACTCATGTTTTTCTCTTAAATTAGTAAAAATTATGATACACAATTATACATATTAATCTCTTAAACTAGTAAAAATTATGATAGACAATAAAACACTTCTTCAAAAAATTTATCAATAATAACCAACCTATTAAAACTAACAAATCTAAGTTTAGTTGCAATAAATATTTATATTATTGGACGATCTCATGCAACATCATTTTAAGTTAATTTTTTCTATTTGTAGACGAAGTGATAATAACCACTAAAAACTCACACACAATTGTGATTATTAGGATTCAAATCCTAGTAATGACGTCCAACCTGTTAGAAGTTGTAATTCATTATTTTGTAGAAAAGTTTGTATTCGAAATAGGCGTGTCGATCCACCTAGTTGAAGTAGTAGGAGTTAGTTGTATTCGACAGAGTCAAATACAACATATAGAATTGTGTCGAAGGCAAAATATAACTTTGTATATTTTAGGTTTGGATGGTATATTTTGGATTTGAGCCTTGAACACCTATAAATAGGCATGACTCTGTATAGTTTTACAACTTAACAATGTTAGTAATAACAACTTCTATAATTCAGTTTACAATTTTCTCTCTTTCTCTCTTCTCTCTTCTTCTTCTTCTTCTTCTTCTTCTTCTTCTTCTTCTTCTTCTTCTTCTTCTTCTTCTCCTTCATATTTCTTGAAAAACCCTAATTGTTCCAACAAATTGGTATCAACAAGTATGGGTTATGATTCATAGAGAAATTGTAATGGTAAATAGAACAATAACATCAACGTAATTTCTAGCGAATCTACCGGTTTTTAAAGGTGACAACTACGAGATATGGGTTGCACAAATGAAAGTCATATTCAGATTTCAAGATGTGTCTGAAATCGTGAATGATGGAATACTGGAATTTGAAGCGAATGTAGATGATGTTTTAGAAAGCAGAACCAAAGGAATAAAGATGGAAAAGCTCTATTACTGATTCACCGGTGTGTGGATCCTAACGTGTTCGAGAATATCATTGAAGAGGAGTGTGAGATGTAACACCCTTCTAAATCCCACATATAATTTATAAATAAATAAATTAAAACAAAAACACAAGGGTGTCACACCTCATAAAGACATAATTATCTTGCTCCGTAACACAAGTTACAACAAAATATTTAACTTTTCAAACATACACATTAATGATATTTACACGATATCAATACTCATATAAAAATACTACAGCAAAATCATCATCAAGAAATTTAAACGTAAAACAACAACATATTATTAGTCTTAAACTCCAACTTTGATAACATTAAAAATGTTGTCAACACTCAACTCAAAACATCTCAACAACATCATTAACATTTGATTCTAAAATAAACGACATAATAGTTTAGAAATCGAACCTCAACCCCAACCCGATGTTATATGAATCAGAGCAGAATCCCGCTACATAAAACGATAAACTAAAGAGGGTCTACAATGGCTAGCTTCCACTTACTTTCACAAAATCTACTTCTGAGTATCTGCGTGTTACCCACGTAAAGACAACATTCAAATAGAAGGGGTAAGTATTCATAATCAATTATAAAAGACATAAGAAAAAAAATTATAACAATTATAAACAAGTCAAAAACATCATCATATTATAACTCACACCCCAAACATCATAAATAACCCATATACAACTTCCATCACAAGGCTCACACATAATCACACAACATTCACAAGTTTCCTAACATCATATAGCACCAACAAGATTATGCAATGCCACATAAAATTCTATGCAACCAACATTGACTCAATGTATGTGGTACCAATTTATGAATGCACAAGCTCATTTCGCTCCATGATCTACCACCATAAGATACATGATCCTCCACCATAGGATCTAGTTCACTCTTGAACTGGAGTACAACAACAACAATCCTTACCGCCACCACAAGCAACGTTTCATTAATTTCCTCGATTAAGGAATTAGCTACTCGCACTCGAACCAATACCATATGATCGAGGCCACAACATAATTATAACTAAAGTTTCAATAACATGGATGCATGATTTACAAAATGTAGCAAGAACATCATCAACATAAACATTTCAACATTCAAGTAACATTTTCATCAATTCATCACACAACAACATCATTTGCTATACGACAATTTAATCATCATTCAACAATACATCATATTAGTACATAAATCAAGTTATCTTATCAATAATATAAACACGTGTTTATTACTCTATTCTTTTATCATTCATCATGAAAATACTTTAAGAAAAGGTTTAAGCACAATAAAAAATAGATACATGTTGAAAAATAACATTTGTAGACAAAATCTGGGTGCATGTGCCGGCACATACGTATATCAGGTCGACACATGTACTCTCATTTTAAAGCATGTGGTGTCTATTTGTATGTGCCAACTCATACAACTTCATGTGTCGGCACATACTATTATATTTTCCAAAAATCACTTTTTCCAAATGCTATGAGTCGGCACATAGCTCGTGTAGGTCGGCACATACTGTACGCTGGACATAAAAACTCTGTTCTAAAACACTTAAACATTAGTTTTCATGAAATTAACTTAGGCATATAAATACATATTATAACAAGCCAATTTTTCGGCTAATTTAACATCCTAATTTCATCTATCGTGTTATATAACCATATATTAACAATACATTAACATATAATCATTAAACAATCATAATTGAGAACCATTACCCCCCCTACCTTATATTTTCTCTAGGAATTGCTTCTCTTTCATATGGATGGATGCTCTCTTGCCTTCTCTTTTCTCTAGCCTCTTTTCTCCCAACTTTCTGTTGGCGATTTTGTATCACCAATGTATTTTAGTAGTAATGTGATTTCTAAAGGCCGATGCAATTATGCGTTAAGTTCGGAGACGAGTTAGGGAAGTGCGGAGTGCACGCTCGTCGAGCCAATGTATAATTGAATACGAATAATTGAAACGGGGTTCCAAGGGGCGAAGCTCCTGGAGGGGTGCGGGGCAGCGCCCCGCGGGGTCCAAGGGGCGGAAGCAGAAAAAAACGCATCCTTCTCTCTATAATTACAATTCGTTTTCTTTTGTCGGAAACAGAATTTCTTCGAGAATTATCCCCACAAATATTTCGTGAACCCAGGCAAGAATAAGGTCGAAATACTTTGTTCGGAAAGTGTACGAACACGATTCTTCGAAGTTATCCAGGATTATCACACCCTAAATATCTAACACTTTCATGTATAATGCATAATGATTTCTCTTCTCTTATTTTTCCCTTTTTCTATTGTGAATATCCCCTCTATTATGTTTCCCTCATTAACCCTCAACTTAACTCATGCAATTATCTCAATACCTTTAAAATCTCTACACACTCTAATTTATTTTATTTTCCTTATTATTTTAACCATTAACAACATAAAACTATTATTTAATTAATCTAGATAATTTTCTATATCAAGAACTCACATTTCCTCCAATAATCCAACAAACACAATAAATCACATAATATTCATAAATAAATATATAAGCAACATAATTTCTAAATTGAGGTGTTTAGAACCATTGTGCTTCAAGCACGTGTCATCAATATCTTTATATCTATCACTGGTGTAGATCTTGTTAGTACTTTGCTTCTTGTTCTTGTTTTGGATTTGTGATTTTACCCATTTGTCACCACTATGCCTTCTTGTTCTTAATATGGTCAGTATTCTTAAATTTTAAACTCTATCATTTATATTTTCTATTTCAATATAAAATAAATGTTTACTTTCGTCTAAATAAGTTGTTAGGTATTGAATTTATAAAAAAGATTATGTATATTTATCATATTAATATTTTATTTTTAATTACTATTTTAATTACAAAGTAACTATCAGAGGAGGTAAATGTAAATATATTAATCTCCAAACATATTATATTCTTATTCCCCACAATTTATGGTATAAATTAGGATTTTTTAGACTGACTATGAAGCATTGATGCAAATTCTGCTTTTCAAGTATCGCTCTTGTTCATGAGATATAATGAAGATGTGCAAATGTATATAATGGAGTAATTCATTTATTTCATTATGTAACTCGACATCACTAGAAAAAGCGTATATGTGTCTGTATTCGTGTAGGACACCAATACAGACACTTGTGATTATATTTAATTAATTAATTTTTAAATTAGTATCGGTGTTATCGTGTTAGTCTTAAAGTCAATTTGAGTCATCTGTATTTTATAATTATGTGACACAGAGAGTTCAAGAAATAAATGCATTAAATATGTTAAATAAATATTCTTTTCTATGCTTGTAGACACTATAATTTTGGTGCATATGTTATAATGTAATATTAGTAAAGAGGATATGTGGAACTTCTCTTCAAATATAGTATTATTTGTGATTGTTGAAAAATCACTTAGTCATGGAGGAATTGCATTGTGGAGGAGAGAACCACATTCTATTTTGTTGTTGTTATATATATATATATATATATATATATATATATATATATATATATATATATATATATATATATATATATATATATATATATATATATATATATATATATATATATATATATATATATATATATATATATATATATATATATATATATATATATATATATATATATATATATATATATATATATATATA